TCCCCCCCCCCCCCCGCCATTCCCGGTTTTCCGCGGTTTTCCAATGGGAAACGCGGAGCCCGTCAGAGGTGGGGATAAAATTCCAGCCCCCCCGCGCTTGTTTTTAATTGTTTTTAATTATTTGTAATTATTTGTAATTTTTATTAATTTTTTATTTTATTTTAATTTTTTTTTCTGGAGCTCCCGAGAGGTTTTTAGGGGATTTTTCCCCCCCCCCCCCATTCCCAAAAATCCATTAAAAAATAAAAAAAACCTTCATTTTCCTGCCGGATTCCCGAAGAATTGGGTTTTCCCCCCCAATTCATTGGATTTTGCCCCGTTCAGCCCCAAAATCCCGGGAGTTTCAGGAGGGGAGAGGGAACGGGGGGGCTCCGGGGCCGCGCGGAATTTGGGGGAGATCGGTGGGAAAACGGGAATGAATTCCGGGATGTGGAATTGAGGGAAAAACAGGGAAAATTGGGAGTGGCTTCGGGGGGGTCGGAAGGAAAGGAGGGACCCCAAAAAATCCATGGAGATGGGAGAAAAAATGGGAAAAATGTGATTTTTAAAGGATTTTTTGTCCTCAGCGTGTCCCTAGCTCGGACTCCCCTGAGCCTCCCCAAAAATCCCAAAATTCCCCCAAATCCCCCCCGGTGCCGCTGGTTCGGGGTCTCCCCCTGGGCCGGGATTCTCATCCCGCTCATCCCAGGGGGGAAAAAAAGGCTGGAAAAGGGAAAAATAAATAAAACAAATTCCGGGAGAAGGGAATTCGGGAATTTGAGGCATCCCAAGTTCAAGGGGAAAGGGAAAATTCCCGGGGTTTGGGATAAAAGGGAAAAGGGCAGGGAAAGCGGGGGGGAGTGACGGGGATGGAGAGGGGTGGGAAGGGATGGGAAAATGGGGGGAAATAGGGAAAAATGGGGAAAATGGGGTAAAATGGGATGGGGGAAAAAAGGAATAAAATGGGAAAAGAGAGGGATGAAAAGAGGGAAAAAAAGGGAATGAAATGGGAAAGAATGGGATGAAATGGGAGGGAAATGGAATTAAATGGGAAAAAATGGAATTGAATGGGAAAAATGGAATTAAATGGGAAAAAATGGAATTGAACGGGAAAAAATGGAATTGAAAGGGAAAAAATGGCAGAGGAGGGAATGAAATGGGCAAAGAATGGAAAGAAATGGGAAACAAAGGCTTGGGATGGGAGGATCGGGATAAAAGGAGCGGATAAGGAGAATAAAAACCAGCGCGGAATAAAAACCGAACAAAACCCAACCAAAAAGGTTTCAAAAATTCCCGACAAAAGCCGGGAATTCGCCTCCTTTGTGCTCCGAGTTCCGGGCAGGAAAATTCCCGTCCCCATCCCGAGCTGCACATGGAGAAAATTCCCAAATTAAATCCAAACGCGACCCTCACCCAACCCCGCGGCTTTTTTTTTTTTTTTATATATATTTTTTTTTGCGCCTTTAATTTTTATGAAGTGCTGAACATCGGGCAGCACGTCCGGGATCGAGCGTTAAAATTCCCGAGATTTATGGGAAAAAGCTGGGACAGAGCGGGAAAAGCCGGGAAGGGCCCGGCAGCCTCGAGGAGGGGCCAAAAACGGCCCCGAAATTCCGATTATCGCCAATTTTGGGAGGTTTGGGACGGGGGGGGGGGCTCCGCTCCGCATTCCCGGGAAATATCCTGGGAAATCGGGGTTGGGAATTTCGGGGGTCTGGGGCCCGCTGTGCTTCGGGGAAGGGGTGAAAAGACGGGAGAAATGGGAGAAAAAATGGGAAAAATGGGAGAAAACCAAAGGGAAATGGGAGGAAAGGAGAGGAAAAGAGGGAAAAATGGGGGAGAGGAGAGGGAAAGAGGAAAGGGAAGGAAAGGAGGAGGAAAATCCCTTTTTGAGGAGGAAAAATCGCATTTCGGGCCGGGATTTCCCGGGAGAGGCTCGGGAGAGGAACAAAGGAACCTTTGGGGCGAAAAACGAGGAATTCTCCACCAAAAATGGGATTTTCGGGAATTTTGGGGCATTTCGGGGCTCGAGGGGGGCGGGAGGGGCCGGGATCCAGGGCTGGGAGCATTCCCAAAAAATAAATTGGGAAAAGGAGACCCCAGAAGCTCTCGGGGAGAGGAAAATTGGGAATGGGAGCAAATCCCGGGGTTTTCGGTCCACCCCTCCCCAAAACCCCCCCGCCAGCGCTTTTCCAGGTCCGATATTCCCGAATTTTGGGGGTTTCTGGGAGAAAAGCTGGGGATTCATGGAATTAAAAGGATAAAGCGTCAAATTCCCGGCGTGGCTCTTTTTCACTTGGGGAATCACGGGGAAAATTTCCTTTTTTTCCTCATCCCAGGCGCAGATTCCTCCTGGAAAAGGTTTTGGTTGGGTTTTTTTTGATGGATATTTCTCCTCCCACAACAACCGAGCAGGAAAAAGCGGAATTTTCCTCTCCCGAACCCCAGGAATTGCTCCAGTTCCTTCCCTTTTCCCTTTTTCCTGAAGGCAGATCCCGGGGAAAATTCCCATTTTTGATTTTCCTCCTTGTCCATTCCTGCCGAGAGAAAGGAGAGGAAAATCAGATTTATCTCCAAGTGCGCAGGGGTAGAATTCCCACTGATCCTGCTGCTTTCCAGCTCCGTTCCCAATGTTTTCCCTCCGGCGTTTCAGCTGTCGGGATTTCAGGAATTTCCCCGCTTTCCCCCTTTATTTCGGGCGTTTATTCCCGGTTTTTCCTTTAAAAACAATAAAAACTCGGGGCCCGCTTTCCGCAGGTGGAGGCGGCCGCGGGCGGAGATTTGCGGTTTTCCAGCAATTCCCTTCGGGTAAAGCCGGGAGAAATTCCAGGGAAAGTGGCCAAAAAAAAAGGGAATTCTTCCCCAAAACCGCGGCCGGGGGCGAATCCCAGGGAGCTCCGATCCAAGCGCGGCTTTTCCAGGCCAAAAATCCCGTCCCGGGAAAAGGAATCGGGGCTGGAATTTTATGGGAAAGCGGCTTCGTGTCCTCAGGGAAAAGGAGATTGAGAAAGGCTGGAAGAGAACAAAGGAAAAGCGGAATTTTCCATTTCAAGGAAATAATTTCCGGATCATTCCCTGGAAATCTGCGGCTCGCGGATTCCTCTTCCCTTCGTTTCCCTCTTTCCCCCTGATTTCTGTCCTAAAATGAGAGAAAAGCCCCAAAACTCCTCGATCCAACCTTTCCCTGAGGGAAAAATTTTCCACCCAGTCGCAGCTCCCTGCCTGGGGAATCCAAGCCGAGTTTTCCCAGATTTTGTCCCAAATATTTGGATAAATAAAATCCCAATTTCGCTTTTTCCCCCCAAATTTCCGGGCTGGTTTTTGGTCTTTTTTAGGGATAAAAACGCGACTCCGCCTCGTCCGAGCTGAATGAATTCCTCTGGCCAAGCCTGAGCCTCAGTTTTGCCTCAGCCATTCCAGGAAAATCTTGGGAAAAGAAGATTAAATCCCATTTTTTCCCCCTGGACGCTCCTCATCCCAAAAAAAAACCACTAAAAGCCCAATTTTCCCCTCAATTCCTTCTCCTGATGTTTTTCCCCTCCCGACGTGTCCCATTCCCAGAACCTTTCCCCAGCTCCCCCTCCAGTCCCTTTTTCCCAGATTTTTTCCTGCTTTTTGGATTTGAATTCCCAGCCCGGCTCGGGGAGGGGTTGATCCCTAAATTTGGAGGATTTGGGTTCTTTTTTTTTCCTTGGATTTCCCCTCATTTTTCTGGAGAATCCATGGAATTCCATCCATGGACCCATCCACGGGAAAGGTTATTCCCGGATTTTCCGGGAATAAATCCATGGGAACTTTCCGGGGTGGGATCAGCTCCGGGGAATTCCCGAACCTCCCCAATTCCCGTTCCCGATTTCTCCCCGCCCTGATCCGGGATCAATTCCCGTCAATCCAAACCTGCTCTGGGAGCTTTCCCGGCTCTTCCCAAATCCCGCAGCCTCTTCTCCCTCTTCTTCTTCCTCTTCCTTCTCTTCTCCCATCGGCGCCGCTTTTTGGAGGCAAAAAATTACTTGGATTCCCTTTTTTCCCTTTAATTTTCCCTTTCCATTCCTTTATTTTCCCCTTTCCCCCCTTTTGATTCCCTTTTCCCCCTTTTATTCCCTTTTCATTCCCTTTCCCCCCCTTTTTTTCTCCTCTTCATTCCCTTTCTATTCCCTTTTTTTTTTTTTCCCCTTCCCACTCCCTTTTTTCCCTTTTATTCCCTTTTTTCCCCCGTTCCCAGCCCCAGCTCGGAGCCGCTCCCGCGTTAATTATTGTTATTATTGTTATTCGTTAATTATTGTTATTATTGTTCTCATTGCCAGAATTCCCCGGGATTCTCCCCGGCTCAGCCGAATTCCAGACAAAGAAAATTCCAGCGGCGATCCCGGGGCCCGCCGGGAAGTCCAAGTTCAATTCCAAGTTAAAACAGGAACAAGCCGGGGCCGTTTGGTCACTTCGGGACCGGGAATTCGGCCTTGGAATTCTCCTTTTCCCGGGAAATTCCAGCGGGGGAGGCTCGGGCTGGGCTGGAGTCGCGCCGAGGTTTTTATTCCCCTTGAAATGGGATTTATTCCTTATTTCAATGGGAATTATTCCTTATTTAAATGGGATTTATTCCTTATTTCATTGGGGTTTATTCCTTATTTCAATTGGGGTTTATTCCTTATTTTAATTG